ATAATGTGAGTCTGGAATTGAAGAACACGGAAAATCGCGGAAAATTGCTGTCTCAGAAGGCAGAACAAATTTTTAACGATCCAGAGAAGCTAATAATCCGCGTTCCCTTTGGGCACGCTAATCCGTCGAGTGGATTTCCATCGAGGATCGCGGTTCTTTCTGGAAATTAAAGCGGAAACGCGGTTCTCGGAGAGGCGCAGCATCCTCTTCTCCGGCGCCATTTCACGAGTATTGGTTTACATTCGGGTTCGTGTGAGTTCGAAGGTCCCGAGAATTAAATTTCACCGCGCTATGTAAACATCGCCGCCGTTGACCGAGACGAGAAACATACGGAATCCAAAACGTATGAGTGTTCTTCTCGAGTTAATCGGATCGCGCGACGCGTTTCTTCAGAGGAAATCGCGGGAACGAGGATAAATGTATTCGAGAGACGATATAATCCATTGTACAGCAAATTTAGAAAAAATTTATTTCGAAGTTAGATCGAAAATCTCACGAAAGACTGCGGTTTCTTACAAAAAAAAAAAAAAAAGATACATTTCCAACACACATGGGAATATTGAAGGATTATCCTATGAGAAAAGTATAGAATTTCATTAGGTTTTTATCATATATTGCACACTCATATAAATGTAATAATAATAAAAAGAGTTGATCCTGTTAAATTATGAAAATTAAAATTAAAATCAAATGTCTTTAGTTAAAAAATGCGGAAAAAATCATAAAAATACGTGACGCGAATTAGCTGTAGAGAAAATTTTAAAGGGAACACAGAGCTTTCGAGCAACGATGCCATTGCGGCAAATAAAAAACCGTGCAAGACAAAATAAAACGCCGTACAATTCGCAGACACGAATAATTTACGCAAAAAATACCAATAACATTATTCAACGCTATTAATATCTCGTATGCGTCATGTTATACTTTTTTTCGCGAAAATTGCAACCAATTGGGATGGCTGATATGACAACGACGTCATACCGAAATAAGAAGTTTATTGATTCTAGATGAGAAAGAAGAGATAGTTTAGAGGGTTACGGATGTTCATATTGCCCAGAATCCGATCATATGGGATAGGTCAAGAGGCATCGTTTATTTTGAAAAGTTTCGAAATTTTCCAAACACATCTGCGGTGCACTTCAAGGAAAATATTTGCAGCGGCGGTACGAGTCAAAATAAAAAAACGTCATTCTTTAAAAATCTCGGGATACTTTAAGTTAGTGATACAAATGGCATTTACAAAATAAGAGTTTAATTAAAGAAAGAAATAATGGATTCTTTTTATTTGTATATTTTTGATTGATTACTTTATTTTGTGTAGTTATTGAATTTCTCTCTAAAAATTTCTTGAAATGAAAACCGAACAATCTCATTCCGAAAGAGGGAAATTTTACTCTAAAAGAGTAATCTCACTCTTCATCAATCAAAAATAAAAAGAATCCATTATTTTTTTCTTGTGCTTGGAAACTTTTCAAAGTGATGCCGCTTGACCTATATAATGGAAAATTTCGCAATTTTTCAAAATATAATGCCTCTTGACTTATATCCCATACAATCGATTTCTGGACAATATGAACATCCGTAACCCTTTAAATCTTTTCTTTCTTTCTTTCCTATCTTCTTTTCTATCTTTTCTTTCTCATCTACATACAATAAACTTCTTATTTCGGTATAGCGTCGTTGTCATATCAGCCATATCCCAATTGGTTGCAATTTTCGCGAAAAAATATAATTTTTGGAATGAGATTGTTCGGTTTTCACTCCAAGAAATTTAGAGAGTTGGTTATTTTATGATTAGTTTATATATGTTTCATTTTATGTTAATGGGATAGTTTTAGTAGAGAGAGATAAAACCAAACAATGTTCTATTAATTTTTTATATATATTACTAAAATATGTCAGCATAAGATTTCCATTGCATTAAGTAGTTTAATAGGCTGACCAAATCCTTTATAAATTCTTGAATTTTAAAATTTAATAAATTTTATTTAATATACACCACATCTTACACCATTATTTTTTTCTAGAAAATATTTCAAGCTAAAGTCATGAAAATAGCGCGTATAATATTAATCAATTTAATGATATTTCGAACGTCAATCTAGCTTTGATGGTGTGATGGTACGACGGTTGGAAGCCGATAATTATTTCAATAATTAATTTTAGTTCCGCCCGTTTAATCGATTCCGTCCCCGCGGCGATAACAAATATGCAAATCGCTCGTGTACACCCTACGTCGAATCGGCGCTGATCCCGATTACGAACAAACTTCGCTTTATGATGCGATCTTATTAAGTTTAACTTCGACTAGATAAATCCGGTCCTTGCGAATATTGCAAACACATTTTGCCCCTTGAATGATTACTTACAATGACGATATTGAATAAAACGATGAATTGAATATTCACACAGATCTATATGAATCTATATAAATCTATATGATTTTCTCCGACCAATTAATTGATTTGCCGAAATTTGTCAATCAATACAAATGATTATACAGGATGTCCGGTAACTAATGGACCAACGATTACAAATGGATTCTTTGGTCAATTTGGGAACAATTTTTCCTCAGCGAAAATGTCAAAAAAGGTCATCATTTTTTACAACTTTCCAATATTTGTCATTATGTATCTTTATAACTAAGCCTCAAATGAAAATTTTATTATAGTAAACTCTACCTGAAATTAACTGAAGAATGTAATTATGTTAGACTTTTAACTCCAAAACGTTTAGTTTTCAAAAGACCCATTTTTTTCAATCGCTTATAACTTGAAAATTATTGACTTCTCAACATTTTTGCTAAGGAAAAATTGTCTCTAAATTGGCCAGAGAATCCGCCCTTAATCATTGGTCCGTTAGTTACCGGACACCCTGTATATATATGATATATATTATTCCTATAATTTTTTAACTAAATATTATTTGTTCAATATTTTCTTAAAAAGACTCATTATACATATAATTTCATTCGAAGGAGAATTTGTTATTGATTTTAATTTTAGAATTAAATTTTCTATTCAACATAAAAAATAAATTAGGGAAATATGAACGGAATTGATCTGAAATATTTCAATTTCTATGGATATATAGTAACAGATTATTCTCTTTATTTTCATCAAAGTTACATATTTTGTTAGCGCAGAAAATATCGCGCAAAAAGATGAAGAAATTTTTAGTAAAATATAACCTACTACGAGAAAAAACGTAGAACATAATCTAGTATATACATCGCAGTTATGTTTTGAATATATATTATATTATGAGACAGTGAACTTTTTTCTTTTTTATTTATCGGGCAGATTATAGATTGCATTGTGAAAACACGTAATCCGGGTGATGCGATGAGCGAGGATAGAACCTAAGTGATAGAACCCAAGCAAAAGACAATTAAACTTTCGCCAGAACTTTCAGGGAGCGTTTTGCATCTCGGTTTTACGGCAGTTAGCCCGAGGCGAGAGAAAGAGCTGGACCATCTACAGCGCTCGCTTGTCGTTCCATTTAAATGAAAATTAACCGCCTGGTCATCTGGTAGGGGGTAATGATCAATTTGACAGTGTGCGACTCGAGAAAATACGCTAGGGATCGAAAAGACGTCGCGTAATTTTATAGATCCTTTCGCAAATTGTAATTTATTGAACTAAAGTATTGAATATTTTCTGCGTCTCTATATTTTTCTTCCTCTTTGTTTCTATCTATATTTATATCTATCTTTATCTCCAGCTATAATCATCCATATCATATCATATAATTTTATCGCATTTATTTTATTGTGAATTTCTGTGTGTTCTTATGTTCTCTTATTAATATAATACATTGTTAAAATTATACATATAGCTTGAAAGCGAAGAGGAGAATTAAACACGGTAAGTCGCTCGATCTGCTTCTTGTAAAATCGCGTAAATTTATCCTCAGCTCTCAGAAAACTTGATTTCAATAACACGCGGCGTGTACGCGTTGGATCAATTTAAATGGCGAAAAATGGTGCGTCGGGATGATCGAAGATATTTTGAGAACCTGGATAGCGCGATTCAACGGTTTCGGAGGCAGCAACTCGGTAGCGAGGAATAGGAGGGTAGCGACGTGTCCTGTCGAGTGTTTTCGCAAGGCAGGAGTCGAACCCTTGGAAAAACAGACGCTAAATTGAAAGTGTCGTGTGCTATAAGAACGCGGGGTAGCCTCCTTTTCCGTCTATCTCCACATGACGTTATCGTTTGACATTTCTCGGGAGAGTTTCTTGGTTGCATAAATTTGCAAATCATATGTGATATCGACGAACGTTGTGCCAGATAAATGAATACGCACGTAAGTGACTATAATATATCCGCGAAAAAGAGATCATACTATATAAGCGAATTAATTATTTCATAATCCGGTTAGAGAATATACACAATTGACATGAAACCTTCGGTAAAATAAAAATGTGTATTATTAATGAAATTAAATTTTGATCTAAAGCTAAAAATGGATTATGTGCTGTATAATTTAGAATTAAATAATTTCTTACTATATGTTTATTATCATATGCTGTTTGTTGTATTGAAAAAAAAAAAAAAAAACGTTTTCAATAGAATTTTAAATAGAGAAAGGATTAATTATATCGCAATTGACACCTTCGGTAAAATAAAAATATGTGTATTATTAATGAAATTAAATTTTGATCTAAAGCTAAAAATAGATTATGTGCTGTACATATGACATACAATTTTTTTTTATTTAATTTAAAATTAAATAATTTCTTACTATACGTTTATTATCATATGCTGTTCGTTGTATTAGAAAAAAAACTTTTTCAATAGAATTTTAAATAGAGAAAAGATTGATTATATCGCAATCTCTTATTTAATTTTAACAATGCATTAAAATTTGGCCCGTACACAAATAAAAGTAAATAATTAAATTAAGGAAAGAGTCAAAGAAGATATTTAAATAACCGGTATTGATATTTTGCATTTAGCCCTAAATTATCATTTGATTTTGAGTTTTATTTATGTCTCAACAAGAATATATGAAAATATAAGACATTATATCTGAGAATTTAAAATATTCAAGAAACTTCCGTAAAAATGCAAACATGCAGGAAAAAATTCTGCGGCGCATAACACAGATATGAATATCTAAAAAATCAATAACTTTCACTTTGAATAAGTCAATAACTTCTCCGAATTTGGTCTATTTTAGCTGTTAATTCCTAAAATAAATAAATATTAAGAGATAAGCATATTTGCGAAATGACTCAGGCAACAAGCATCCGTCTATTTTGACGTCGAATAACGTCATTAAAGGTCAAATTCTTACGTTTGATAAATTTGCTGTTCTTTTATCACGCATTCTGTTTTGAATAGAGATATATATATCAATATAAGATCAGATAGAGATCAATATATTTGAGTGTCCGATTATGTTTAGATACTACCTGAATATATACGATAATATTTCGAATATCCATGAATTTGGGAATGTCCGAAATTTGGTAGGTAATCGTAGACATATACAGATTTATCCTAGCACTAGTCTTTCTATAAGATGTGCGGCCGTAAAATCTGAATCACACGGCCGTCTGCGACCATTCGTTCTCTTGTCACTGTCACCCTAAACATCCTCGACACTTGGCTCGAACCCCCGGATGAGCTGAGACACCGCGCGCATGCAACTATCACTCGCTTCCGCTTCCTCCGGGCGAGGTTTCCACCGAGAGATCACCACCTTAATCCTCGAGCTCGTTGTTCCGCTTGGTATCCGCGAAAAGTATCCGACGGCCGGTCCGGGGTCGCGGAAAAATTCCGCGTCGCGGCGTGCCGATTCGGAATTCTCTTCTCCGAGAACCCTCCTGGAAACCCTGCGCGAGTAGTCGAGGGCGTGACTGCTCGCGAGACTGGGACGCGATCATTGGCAAGGTCGTGACCAGGGCGGACGCACATCAAAGCATTCTTCGCGTCGCGTTCGGATTCGGTGCCGCTTTAAAGGCGGGGCCTTTGAAGACCCCGCAGCCAATCAGCGTCGGCCGACGAGCGGAAACCTCGTGATTTTTGAAAGCCGCAACGAACAGCGCGCAGCCGTCCTCGGGCAACTCGGAGCACTCCGAACCGCGCGCGACGCCGAGCTCCCCAGTGTGTTTTTACTCGGGGTTGAGTAAACTCCGGCCTGTTGTGTATCATAATACCGCGGCGTGCACACGCGGGTTACTAACGGGGTTAGCGTGCGTCCCGCGTAAGCGGCACCGAGTCGCGCCGATCAACTGAATGCATCTTCGCCTCTCCTACCTACGTCGCGGCATCTCGCGTACACCTACCGTCCGTCTTTCGTGTGTCTGGGAAGATTCCCGGTCAACAAAATACCACGACGGAGCAGCAGCATCCGCGCGGGGCGCGCCGCGAATTCCATGAGCCGTGTTTTTCGTCGTGGCGGCATCAGCTGAGCCGTGATTGCACATATAGGAATTACTATATCGATCTGCCTCGAGTTAGCACCCTTGGATCGAGGCGATATATGCAGTGACGAGTGCGCGTGCTCAAAAGTGCTCAAAGTGACGGGATACGTGCGTGAGATTTTTCATTATTCGTTCAAATCAACACTGCGAAAGGCTCAGGAAGATCCGACGCGTCCAGCTGGTGGGAAAACCAACCTATTCTCTCGGCGAATAAGAGTTTAATAATTGCAGTCTGAGAGAAAAGCATATATATATATATATATATATCTCTACACGCGATGAAATAGAGTCAACAATTTTGAATACATCGTTCTCTCGAAATCAAACAAACCGAACAGATTCGTCAATGAAGAAACTATCCGACGAAAAAAAACATGTGTATCGTGTAATCATCTCTCGATATATAGCAGTGGAGGAAAAACTAGCGAGCGCTCTAAATTAAAGACAATTGCTCTCAGTCTAGCTGGAAAAGGGGATTTTTCTCGACACACTTTCCGCGATTACCCGCTGACCTTAGGAAAGAGAAGATGCATACGCTCTTTGGCGAGCAGAATGCATACTATCGGCACGCGACGGCGGTGCCGGTGGGTATGGGCACGCCGTCATATCCGGGGGTGGGTGCCGCCCCGGCTTACTACGAACAATACAGCCGATACAGCGGCTACGCGACGGCCGGGTATCCCGTGTCGGGTATCGGTCAGCAGCATATCCATCACGCTGGGAAGGACATGGTGAAGCCGCCGTACTCTTACATCGCCCTGATCGCGATGGCCATACAGAACGCGCCCGACAAGAAGATCACGCTCAACGGAATCTATCAGTTTATCATGGAACGATTTCCATACTATCGCGAGAACAAGCAGGGCTGGCAAAACTCGATTCGGCACAATCTAAGTCTGAACGAGTGCTTCATCAAGGTGCCGCGCGACGACAAGAAACCAGGCAAGGGAAGTTACTGGTCCCTAGACCCTGACAGCTACAACATGTTCGACAATGGTTCTTACTTGAGACGTCGCAGACGCTTCAAGAAGAAGGACGCGCTGAAGGAGAAGGAGGAAGCGCTCAAGCGACAGGGTCTGGTCCCGGAGAAACGGGTGCAGGAGGATAACAAGTCCGGCGGGAACCAGGTTGCGTTGCCGCCGCCGGACACGCCGGCGAAGAAGCTCGGCACTCTGGAGAACAGCAACGCCGGTCTGTGCAAACCTAAGCGGGAACCGATAAACGATCACGCCGGCAATCATTGCATGGCTGCGGCGGTTCAGGCGAGCAAGTACGGCTTGCACAGCCCGATACAGGACACCAAGACGACGACGGCCGTAGCGGCGCCCGGGCAGAGCGTCATCCAGACTGCCCTGGGTCACCAGGTGCACCAGCCGCACCAGGTGCACCAGGAGCCGATTCAGGACGTGTCCATGGCTGGGCTGGATCCGACCAGCTTCAGCGTCGACGCGCTGATGACCACGCGGGAGAACAGCGGCGGTCTGATGACGCGCGACAATCAGCACCACTCGCACCACCCGCACGGTCTTCAACATCCGCATTCTATCATGAGCAGCAGGGAGTCCATGGGCAACGGTAGCAGAGACCTGTCGTCCGCGTGCACCACCACGACCACCACGACCGCCGCGGTAGCCGCGATGATGGCCACCACGGGTTACGGGCACACCAGCACGGTCTCCCGGGGTAACGCTTCGCCACCTGGTTCGATGTACACGCCGTACTGCGCGCCGGCGGCCGCCGGATACGCCATCATGGACCACGCAGAGTACAACTCGGCGAGAAATCACGCGTCCAACGCCGTGGGACACTCACAGTGGTATCAGGACGCCGCGAGTCCTGACACAGCGATCTACCAGGACACCCAGTCCCCGAGCTGTCAGCTTTACAGGTAAAGATAGATGATAAATTACAAGTTCATTACAAATAGATGATCAAACTTAATTTATCATCTGTCTTTTTACCTGTAAAGAGACAACCAAAACTTTTATGTAAAATAAAATTTCGAGATCGTTTCTCATCGTCTCAAATAATGCGCTCGCATTTTGTTTGAAAGGATGAGAAACAATCTGGAAATTTCATTTCAAATAAAAATTTTGGTTGTCTCTTTACAGGTAAAAAGACAGATGATATATTAAGTTTTGTGGTCGTTATTTGAAAGGATGAGATGATTTTGAAATTCTATTTCACATAAAAGTGTTATGGTTGTTTAATAAATTGCAAAATCTGTCTATTATGAAGATTAACAAATGATACCTATATATTAGTTTACATTCTGACGTAATATAATTTCATGAGTGATATAAGGTTGTTTCTTTAAAAAATATCAAGTAATAAAATCATATATTAAATTCTGATTTAATATTTCAGTATTTCTTTTTTAGCATATATACATTGATATAATATAGTTGTGAATTGATATTAGTTAAAATTTAGTTGAAAATAACGAGGCTTTTTAAACGTATCAAATATTAGAAATTAAAATCCATTAAACCTTTCTTCGTCAATAAAAAAAGAAAGAAAATATTTTATTACGTAAATATAAAAAAATATATATTGTAGTAGCTTTTGCAATACACACTTCGTACATTGTTAATTTGTCCTTATAAAAAAAGATAAAACAGCACTAGAAATTTGTATTATAACAGAATAATCTAAAAAATACAATTTTTATTATATAAATTTATATATATTAATTGATTTTATGAATACGGAGTTGTTATATATTTGTTTATATATTTCTATTATCTTTTCTAAATAAAAATTAAAAGTATAAAATTATAAGAAATTTTAAGAGGCCGAAAGCTTATAATTAATTAAAATAGTAATATGATTTATATTCAGATATAGTTCAACTTCCAAGAATAACTTTCTCCTACGAGCAATTTCTCCGTTGTAAATAAATCGTAAATAAATTGGCGAAAGTTTTTAGTACACACGTAGTGATTGTGACTTTTGTATGAAAGTTAGACAAGTTTTACATCGCATCACTCTACTTGAAAAAAATTGTTTCGATATAATTTTAAAATTTATATTTACCACTATAGTTATACATACACTCTCTACTAGATCCACTGTTTCGTACATAACAAATTTGCAATCTTATCTAATTTTTAATAACTCATACATAAAAATGGAAAATAATTTTTGTACATAATTTTTATAACATATCACTTTTATATCATTCCGTATTTTATTAAATTAAAAATTAATATTGAAATTTTTCATTCGAACATTGCTCGAAAAAATGTCGTTTTATAGTAGTATATTAATTGCATCAGTGAATTATTAATTTGTGAAGCCTAGACCTGGGGATGCGTAGATTGAAAAAATTTCTTACAATAAAAATTAATATAGATTATTTAAATTGAAGACTATATATATAATTGTTAAAAAATATGAATTTCTTAATTAAATTCTAGATAATTAAGACTAATCACGCGATTCTTCAGGATACAATTTGATCTGCCGCAGGTCCAGCCCGCCGACACCTCTTTCGACGGGCGCGGCACCATCTCCTCCGCTATATCACAGATATTATCAAGACTGTAGTGCTGTTAACACCAGTGGAAATCTACCGATAACGTTACATAAGTACTGAGAATATCGAAATTCAAGGTCCCATCAACGGGACCTTGAAGAACACCACGGCGAGCATTACGATCCGGGCTTGGTTTACGTGAAACAAGAATGGATCCCCTCGACAGATGAACTTGCCAAGGAATGGAACTAGAACAAGTGTCACAGAGAGGAAGCTGGTAAATGATATTAAAAAAATGACGTAACTCTAGTTTCCTGCCCGTATCGAATCGTATCTTCGTATCACGGAAAATCGTTATCGGTAATATGTAGGCAATTAGCTAATGCGACGATTAGGCGTAATGAATCGTGAATGAATGTTGTTGAGGATAGTTTTGTGTGAGAAATAGCTAAAAAACTGACTATCGAGATTTCTTAGTGGAAAGATACGTCGGAATCTGCAATATTGCTTTTCTCATTTTTCTACAGGGTTGTAATATTTCAATCATTTTCAGTTGATTTAAAAGAGATTTGTTAAATAATGTTTTTTTTTTATAATTATTAGAAAATTTATTAGAAATATTATTAGAAATATTAATTGAAATATTTTTTTTTTCAAAAATATAAAGAGAAGATTACTAATAGACAACTTCCCAGAAAATTTGATAAGATTTCGAATCAAAGAATCTAAAAACCTGAATAATTAAAATCCACAGCTCCCAGAATAATAAAGATATAAAAGATGCATGTATAAAAAGGACTATAAATTTTAATCGGTAAATTTCCTCTTCCCTTTTTAACACAGTGAGAGATGATTCATCGCTTTTAATCAACGCAGCATCGTAAATTCGATAGTCGTACGAGTCGATTTTCCTTATTTCACTCACGCGGTAGTCTCCATTTAATGAATGGGACGCGAGTGAACGTCCGGGAAGAGGAAATAAACCGCGAATTTTGACTTAATCGTTCTCACCTGCGTAAACATCGCGTCACTGACCTACCTATCTGACAAATTTTTTCGGTCATCGTTGTCTTCACGCGCATCTGTGCAAACCGCCGTAAATTGCGCGAAGCGCGTGGAAATATCGGCGCGTCTCTGTTTGCCAATTGTCTGCTTCCGATAGATATTATAGGCGATAAGGACGAATCAAAGTCGTCGGCCCGGATTGATGTGGTTCAAATTTTTTTTTTTTTGCCGAGTGCGCGATTTTTCACGGAATTCGCATTACGATCGCACACTATCCCGATATTTCAAAAATATGACTGCATGATTTGCTCACGTTTTTTTTGTTTCCTTCCGCCTGGATACCCTTGGAACGGGTTAAAAAAGTCATTGTTTGCTTTGCGTGGCGCGTTTTGCATCGAGTATTTCCCGATCCCGAAATGTCCGCTTTTTTAGCCGTGATTATTCCGCAACGAGTGTTTCCAGAATTTTCGCATTTAATTGCGACAGCATGTCGGACACATAACGAATAAGCGAGTTACAAGCAGCTCGGGGAACAAAACGGGTATACCGCCAGATTATTTTATTGTATAAGTAGAGATGATCTAATATTTTAATTTTTAATATCTTGGAACACAATGGAAGCTCCAAGAGAAAATTCATGTCTCTCTCATAATATAATATGCTTAATAGCAATGATTCTCTCGCAATCATTTTTATAGCAAACAGGAACATTTTTTAAAAATTGTCTTACAACAAAACAACACACTCGTGTGTATTGTTTTGTATTTAAATATATAGTTTAAAATTTATACGCGATATGCATTTTAATCGATAAACATTTTAATGGAAAAACGCGATAATCTACATGATTCGAAGCATTTTAGTAATGTCCCGGAGTGCAAGGAATAGCAAAGTTACATAATAATAATAATGTATACAGTATACTGTGAGAAAAATTAATCGTGATCTTATGTTTTCGATGTCGATGAAAATTTATTCAGCTTTAGTCTTTTAGCCTCTAGAGAAGTGTTTAAAAGTGTTCGAACACGACGATGAGATGGTGAAAAGAATTGTAAAAAGAATAATAGATTTAGCGATTAGTGGAATATTGTACTTTCTTCGTAAGGGATTGCACCTCGTTCTTGTGCATTTAATCATGTGATGACTTTTCTCGGTGCCGAAGAATCGCGCGGTATTCGAGAAAGAGCCGAAATAAAATATATATATATATATATATATATATATATATATACATATAATATATATTTATTAATCGCGCGTACATTAAATACGAATCATGTGAATAATTAGCGTTTAATGCTCGAATTGATTGATAATTATATAAGCGATCAGATTTCTGCGTGTACATTATTATGAGATCGAATATACATATATATACATATATAGATAGAAATAGATTGTATATATAGATTGAAACATTATAAATGTATAAATAGACAGATCTATACATACATACATACATACATATATATATATATATATATATAATATATACACATATATTACATATATATATTATATATGTGTACGTATATATGCATATATATATGTATAAGGAAAATGCGCGCGTGCGCGTTTATTGATATTAACATTATTATTATACTATTATACGTACCAATACACGTAGGGATGAGTACGTCATGCAAATGCGAACACACTTACGAAATAAACGCAAAAATCTCAAATAATGTTTTGTCTCTCTCTTTTAAACCCACCACGAAAGCCGCTTGCATCATATATGCATCGTTTTATTTACGAGGCATGCACTTGCAAAGGTATTATTAGTGAAAACGCTGGATGTTTATTGCTTGCCATCGCATGACATCGTGTTTGGACGCGAAATATGTTTTTATATTTGTACTTATCGGTAAAACTATATATCGGCGGAAATATTGATGACCGCGCTGTGAAAATAAGCTAAGTATGCGTAAAAATAACTCGACGTTTAATTGTTGCATCGTCGTAAATTTGTTCGAGAGCGCATCGCGCGCGTTTATTGTTTCATATTTATCTTTATTATTTGACACAATTTAAATTCGCGTTTTGGAAGCAAATATTAGAAGAAAGAGAAAAATGAATATCCCCCCAATTTTCCATTGTTATGATTCCAATTGTTATAAATAAAGATGACATCAAGAACAAAACAAAATTAGAGCAAGAGGATTTCACTGTTCCAAAGAAATGTAATTTATTCATGTAACGTTAAAACTTTAAATTCAAAGTCTCTAAAATATTTTCTTGTACAATTTTTATTTTATATTTTTAAGAAATATCATTTATCCGCACGGTACTACTATATATGTTCCAAAATAATTCTACATAATTAATCTCTCACATTAATTCTACATTCTTCATGACAAATGAGTAGCAGACATTTCCGCGTAAAATCCAAGCAAAATTGTTGGCGATGAAATGATAGAGCTTGCTGCGAATTTCGCAGAATCCTCGATAGATTAATGTCGCGTCTCGTAACACGCGAGAGCGGAAACGTTTATACTGCTCCAACATCCAACCAAATCAAATCGACATTCCGCCTTTTCGCTGGATTTATGATGGTTGCACGGATCTAATACGTAGCACATCCGCCTGCTTTTGACACCCGCATGTTCTCGATCTGCATCAGCCCGCGATTAATTTTAGTAGCGATTCGAGAATCGTTATTCCGTCGACAGCAAATTGTGACGATATCGAAAGATAGTTCAAATCAGGTACCGAAATATCGAAGCTGCTTATCTTTTCAAAGTAGATATCGAAGATATATAGTAGTTGGAAAAAAGGACGTATAAAACGACATAAAAAAATATATTCGATCCTTATAAAGGCTTAAAGATGATTTAGCGATGGTTAAAGAGCATAAAATAATTTCTTAAAATTTTAGAGAGAATCGTGTACTTGGAAATTTAAAAATATTATTATGGGAACAGAACACTCGAAGGTATTAAAGGTATTAAAACGTCAAATTGAAGTTCATCCTCAAAAAAAGGGACGTAGTCTAACAATCGCGTATACTTTTAAGAGCAAAATCCGAGGATTAAAAATGTTTCGAGTCTAAAAATATGTATAATGCGTTTGCCTGAGCATATATAAAAAGCGACTTCGAAAACTCAGACCTGCATATTTCCGGTGAAAAGGAAAAAAGGGAATTTGCATATCCCTAAGTAGAAGGAACAGTGTCGCTTGTTCGAAATTTTGACATTGACGTGGCGGCTATAGCATGTAGACTAGTACAGACACTTTATCTTTCGGCAAACAGATTGACGGGTTCGGTCGAAACCCTTGTTCTTAAACCCTCCTCGTTTCATTCGGAGCACGCGTTTCGACAGATGGGGTTAAGTCCGGTTCTGGGGCGGAAGAGAAGCCTTTTGCAAAACGTGCTTTTAAATCGAATTTTATACCTGTTTTCGCAAAACTATAATATATGAATATTCGTTCAACTATATAATGACATAGAAAATGTTATTGCAATAATGTAGTTTGTTAATTAGTTTCTAATTTAATATACATTGATTTGCAAAATAAATTTACAAAATAATTCTCATGAGCCAATTTTATATATTATGTAATTAATATATTATAAAGATTAGATGATAATTTTAATTATTTAACAAATTTAAGCAATTTTATTCTCAATTTATTAATATAGATATACGAATGTTTCAACACTTTTATGAATTATTGTATATTTGCCTTGTACATTTCACGTATATTAGTCTTTTCGTCTCTTTGAAGACTGATGTGTAATTATTTTCCTACAATTATTTCGTGCGTAAGTAATATATATTTTATTTTCAATTATATAACAGAGGTAAATAAATATTTAAAAATACGTATTAATTGTAGGTATATGTTTGTTACATTTACATCGATCACGTAAATTAATGTCAGTGGAGCGAAAACCAAATATGTCGAAAGAATTATTTGCACTGCGCGTAAATGCTCGCACACCATTATTGACTTTTCAATAATCCACGCAAACACACAAAATTCAACCACCCGAGGTAGGTACTGCGGATGTTAAGAACCGCGATTCGAGGGTGAGAAAGTCAATGCAGCAGCCCCTCTCGTTCTTTATCTCCACGGTAAACACTTTACGATATCCATTCGAGGTTGCTCGCGTGATAAAATTTTTCGCTCAAAAAAATAAATATTGTAATAGAGAAATATATATAGAACAAAGTTTAATATTTAACATATAATAAATAAAATATATTAATTTTTTTAAACATTTAAGGGAAAAATGGCGCTTAATAAATTTATGAAAAATTACTCAAAATGCGGTGGCATCAAAAGTATTATACGATGACGGGTCTTTTCATTCTTTCCATTGTGATAAAAACATCAATCTTAAAGTTAAGCACAAAAAGGGTAAAAATGTGAAACACATGTGACGGTGCCTAGCGAAAAAGATGTTTTGTCAGGAAAATATACTTTCTAAAAAAATGTTTAGGCGTTTAGGTCAACCACATGCATCGTAAGCACAGCACGAAAGAGAATCGCTTGGAATGCATTTCTCAGAATCACTTTCTAATTGCATCGTGAGGAGGATATAATCTCTCAAAATTTTATATTTTTTTACATCAACATAGGATATATTGAATCGATTTATAAA